TTAATCAGCTCCCATGTTAACAACAAACTAAGCCGACATAATAATAAGATCGAATAAGGTCATTCTTCAAAATTACTAACAATTACTGAAAGCGGAAAAATACTGCTGTGAGCAGCATTATCCAGATCAAGGGGTAGATCGCCTGCCTGCGACGACGAATATTACTTCAACTGCCTCAGCAGCGATGCCTAGGCACCACTAATCTTTGGTTCAACTCAGTTCTTGTTATCGGTACGATCAAATTTCCTCGAATAGCAGACTGCTAAATCTGCATGTAGCGGATGGGTGTATAATTATGCAAACTCCGTTAGGCGACGGAGACATAACTGTCGTAAACAGTCTGCACAGTTGTCGTAGTCACAGGGCGGTATTGCAGTCCTCCAGATCTCACGACTGACTTAATACATCGCCGCAAAAAAACAAGAATCTCTGTCAACTTATCGACTACAAGAATCTCGTTAGTCAACCACTTCGAAGTTCATGAAAGGCATTTGCAGCTACTGCTGTAGCTCAGATGTGTACATGTGAACTGCCTTTAGCTATCATGCGATCCAAAACTTTGGTAGCTGTTCGCCAACCCTGACGCGGACGCCGAGACTGAAAACGGGCAAGAGCCAGCTGAAACGCGGATGTCCAAAATTGCTCATATTCGACTTTGAGAATCTAATCCCCAAATCCTAATCTCTCGTTAATCATATGAATATGCAATGCTCATTAGTGGGCGTCTTTCGCCAAAAATACGCATAATCGCACCGCTGCCTTATTTCGAGAGGCCCGTGGGCTCTTTAAACAGGTCATCGTTGTGGTATTATATGCATGCCAATATTTACCTTAAAAAAGGCAACTTGTCATTATTCGACTCAACAATGATATGAGGTTTTGTACCCAGGCACCGTAAGTGCTAAAACGCCACGAAACTGTGGCCTGCTTAACAAATCTTCAACTGTCCTAACAGCAAGGAGCGATGCTATTATCCCGTGCAAATTCGGAGGATGCGCGTTGGCTATCCGCACTGACAGTGGTGAAAATGAACCTGACAATTCAATCTAAATAGAAATACCCTTGATATCCTAGGTTTAGCAGCGAAATCTCGTTTTCAATACTCCAGGCCAGCAAAACGCATACGAGCTGCTAGTTCGGATTCGTATGACGACTTCGCAGCGCCCTTTGCTTCGAGCGGCCTAGCGGGCGCCTTAAACAGGCAACGGATCCATAGAATTACAGCACATACAGCGCATGGATGCAAAACTGCATGACAATTCAATTTTTCCATAAATGACCGTTGTAGCTCACACGTTTGTCTTTCGAAGGAGGTTACCAGCATAATAAAGAACAGAGATTAGATCAAAATTCGTAAATACTTCATTCGACTTGGAATTTTCCCATCATTATCTAAACGGTTAAGTACCAAATGACTAGTACACAACATATCCGCTGCCGAGAAACATACAATACAATCTCCAATGTCGCGATGGTAAAGCATCTGAAGGGCAGGATACGCCTAGAACAATTACATGATTTAGGATCCCCGACCTACAGATCCTTAGGATGACGTACTCATGGTTTGGTTTGGAGGAGAATTACTAAAACGCTGTGACGCTGTGAGTCACTGCGTATCAACCGAATTTAAATATAAATGACATGGGCAAAACAACTGAAACTCCATTGACGCCTCCATAACGCGACTTATCAGAGTCTACCGAGTGAAACCAATGGCAGCGTTCTCAGTGATAACAGGGCGTGGGTGTTTTCTTGTTAGTCCATTAGACTATGGCCCTTTGCGGTGTTGCTTTTACAACTTTCCAACTTTCTGTACACAGTCTGTTTCTTTTCGAACTGTGTCGCTCGTTTCGCAATGAATGGTGTGGTTCTCCACGAAGCTCTGACCAGCTACCATTGTCTTTTCCCTATGCGTACAAGTCCTATCATATTATCAGCTTTCATCCATATCTACATGTATCCATTTTATCAGCTTCCTTCATTCCTTCTCTCGGTATAGCTGTTCCTATGGCGGTGGATTAAAACTGTCGCGAAAGAAGTATATCTCGTCCTTCAGTAAAGTGAGGAAGTAGTCTATCTGTTCCTTCTCTTAGTTCAACTAAGGTTTTTTCGTTTTAAACTAAAAAATGTTAATGCCTATATCTCCAAGATATGTTTGCTACGGGAAAGCGTTTCCATAGAAGAATGAGTGTGCAACTCAGTTTTTCGTCCTTACATTTCTTCTTATTTCCTGGGGATAAAATTCGGATATACTGTCCTCAGGAACTGAAACTGCAACTGGCAAGACAGACGTACGAAGAATCAACCATCGCTCAATCATAGACACGTCTAACTGAGTGGCAGTAAAGAGTAAACGGCGGTGATACGACCTCCATGTATCAATGAAAGGGTGAGCTGAAGAAGTTCGCTGTACCTAGATGGATAGGAATCGCAGAAAAAACAAGTCTTTAGAAAGCAGGGATGCGAAACTGGCATTACTTAAGAGCAATGAAAATTTGTTACCTACTGCGCCACCTATACCTCTGCCTCATCCCCGCCGTCAGAGGCAGTGTGATTGGTAATTTAACTTCGGACTGGACAACCATCACGAGCCATATGCTCTAATAAATATTTAGACAGTCAACTGACAACAGAAATCTAATCTGATGAATAGTTAATTTAAAAATATTACTTTAATTTTTAATGCGAATGAACAGTTGTTTGCGTTCGAAATGTCGGGCAGGTCGTATATTACACATCTGTGTCCAGTAAACCTCTGAAGACTACAATGGTAAAAAAAATACTTATGAACATTATCGTAAACTTAGTGGGGAGTGGGAACTACCCCCCCCCCTGCAAATTTCCAATGGACGATATAGACACTTTCCATTGTAAAAAATTAACTTACGGCGATAAATATAAATTTCTGTTTGGTAACCGTATCGATAAAAACCGTTCTAAAACGGTCATTCATCGAAGGTCCTCGCAACATCCTTCTTGCATTTAACAACGATCTACGTAATAACGGTTCGGCAACTTGAAAGATGTCCCCCCCCCACAAGACATGAAGTCCTGCCCATAAGCAGAGCACATTTCCATCGTGAACGTTTGCTTCGCAAACCGCTGCCACACATCTCTTCCATTCAGCGCTGATCAGATCAGGCCGGTTCCTGGACATGCGATCCGTTAGCACGTGAGTACCGCTCGAAAACCGTTCACTCCTCACTGACCTTGGCTGCCCTTTGCAGGTCCGGCGACCATCGCGCCATTTCACGGTTCACAGTGTACTGGATTGCACCCGCAGAAAAATCATGCGCGGCAACGAAACTCGTGTGGCCCGGGCCGAGGCCGCTTTGCCGGCTGGATGGATGCATGCACAGATGAACGGGCAGCTTCAGGCGAAAACCAGATTTTGCGACAACAGTACGACGAACTGCGGTCAGCTGTTTAAGTTCAGTACAGTGAAGTGCGCTGGCGGCGATCGACACGTCGCAACAGCTGAGGTTTCAGTGCTGATCGACGTTCTTGATAATTGATAGAAGTGATACCATCGCCTTGCGACTCGGGTCCATCGCTTCACTGTCAACCGGCAAGGTCGTCGCGACACCAGCCAACGGCCAGATTCCGGAACCGGGTCGGAAATGAGAATCCAGTTCGAACGCCTGTCCCCGTACTGGCCGTCTACTCTGTCACGATGTCGCCCCGGCGACGAAGGTCAAGCCAAGGTCAGCGTAATGAACGTCGCGAAAGAGTATCGACAGCTGAATGACCAGTAAGAAACAGGCCGTCGACGCGCGACGTAAAAACGACGACAACATACAAGGGGGCATAGATCCCACGTCACAGGGCGAACATAGCCGAAATTATTAGATTAAAACAGATTTGCAGATATAGTGTATTTCAAGAATTAAACACACATTCACGTAGGTGCTTTTGGCGCAACACGCTGTGGTCGGTAGCGCCTTTGTCGGAGCTGTTTCGTACTGCACGAGCCCAGTTGGCCGACCTTAGCTCTGATGGGACAATGAGTTAAAAGGGAGATATGGAACCTTGTGGTGACAAATCGCAAGAGAACAACGAGCGCTGCCATCGAGACTTGGCAGTGGTGATCTCCGCTGATTACGAACAACGATCAATTAATTGCTGCTGTATAGCTAAACCGAAGAAGTGTGCTGGCCTTTTGCAAAATTTCTGGATAATATAATATCCTGGAGCGGATTACTCGCTGGAGACAGCGATCGCTCGGCAGACTTCTATTACCACCATGGAATTATCGAAATAGCAATTTAGGTCAGATGTCCATGGCGTGACACCCAAGTCCATTCCTTCTGTCATCCGAAACAACAGCTGCGACAGTAATGTGCGAGCAGCGTAGCAAACGAGAAGCAACGCAACGGGTATCCTGCATTCGGTCGACGTGGCACGGTTCAAAGTACACCAGTCGCTGAAAGCCGACTATTCTAACATCTGCACCAGGATAGCTGGTTACGGTATTGCAATTAAGGTTATAAATGCCATTCGGCATCTTGACAAATACGATAATGGTGACTTCATCGGCGACTTTAACGTTTAACTACTGACTATGCCCAGCCTTTTCACAAGTTTAACTTAAGCCATGGAAAGCGGACAACTGCCCTCAGTAAGGAATTGCATGCTAGGGCGAAATAAGTTCCAGTACCGTCCACTTTGCCGTGAAGGTCTGCCAGAAATCCTACAACGTTCGGAAAAAGTAGTGGCAACAACAGGCGAGAAAAATTTTATGCAATTAAATCAAACCCCTCTAAAAGAAAAGCAGCGTGGCTACAATACCGACCGAAAGGATTGTGGTAAGGGAATCACACTCAGTATCAATCTCTAAAGAAGGAATGATGAAATATCTTCTAAACGGCGTCTATTCCGGAAACAGAGTATGGCAACTCATTTGCATGGAGAAAATACCAAAACAATGCTTAACGCAAATTAAAGAAGCAGAAAAACAACGTTCGAACCCATTAGATGGTCAACACCTGCAAAATTCGGTGAATAACGTTGCCCAACTGTGTACCTGATGAAGTAATCCATTTGAACGGAGTATAACATGTCACTGCTACAAAATGAAAATTGGTACGTAAGGTGACAACAAGAGATAAAACGACTGAACCCTTAACAATCAAGAAGTTACCTCACAGCCTTACGATGATTTGCGCACAACGGCACTGCACTGATCGTAAGTAAGAGAGTCAATGAGAACAAAAAGGCATTATTTACAAACTTACCTAATTTTACGATGGCATGTATTCAAAACGTACAGAAAACGTAGCAATATCAAGTGATCAAGTAAAGACTCACTCGAAGACCATTCAAATGCGCGAACTGCGGTCAAGATCTCGCGGTGGCTTGTTTTACGTTGTGGCAAAATATGCGTAAAATAATGAAATAAAACGACTTTCTCTGTTAACACGATTAACGCAATAATAGCTAATTCCATGCCACCATCTCCATTCTATACAATGCTAGTAATATATGTTCAATTGCCGTTATTTTCATATGCATTCTTTGTACGCTCGGCCGAACCTTCTCTTTAGAAAAGTCTTATAAGCCGGCCGTAATCGTCTATTCGCTGCGTAAACTTTTCAATGAAAATATTTTACTCTACTCTGTTTAAGGATTATTAGGGATGGCGCATTTTTTGAAAATCTTTGTAGCCGAGTCCACAGTAAGACTTTCTGTTCAAAACAGATCTGCCTAACAGACAGGAGAAGAATCATCGCTACTCACCATTTCGTAAGCTGATCGCCAGATCATTCATTATAAGCATTCATGGTTATCGTAACGGCTGGGGAAAACCGACCCAAAACCATATTTCGTACATTATGTCGTCCTTTACTTTCGTTGTAACCGAGACTCCGCGACGCAGACGCTGATGCCGAATTGTCAACAACAACAAAAAACTTACCAAAAAAGAAAGGAAATATATAAAACGTAGTTGTTCCCTAAAACACATTAAGGCCAGAACGGCACACACGTTACCTGAGGCTGTAATCAGTTATAATCGAGATGGACCGCTGGTGATCAGGAATAACTCATTTGGCACATTCACTTCCGATGCTTCAAACCGATCAACCCTATGTATTTCTTTCTGGCTAACCTGCCGAGTTACTTACCTCAAATCCTCATGTCTTACTCTGCTTTCTTTCTCCTACTCTAGTTCCAATCATAGTAAGTACAGTAAACGCGGATTTTCGATAATGATTCCATTTGTTCTAGATATATTACAGAAAATCTGTCATTTTAAGAAAATAATGGCTTTAATCTTTTCTACCAAAAGAATAAATCCAGGCTACCTATTGTACAAAACAATTCAGCCTTGACCCGTAGAACAGGCTAATAATATAGCATGCGAAATAAAATGTAATTCCTTTAATGCTATGCTGTATACGTCGCGAAGACATTCACGACTTTTAAGGTGATGTTAGTGGAAAACAGTAGAGCCGTCAGGAATTGCTACGGCGAGTATTCACACACTGCGAGTCATGCAGATTATCTCTTTAACACAGTTGGCGCCTTCCTTGTCGACAGAGATGAAGACGGAATTAAAATATTATCAAGGAGTCTATATGCTATCGTCCAGAGCGACAGTCTGTCAATGCTGATAGAGACTGGTCCACACCGGTACCAGCCAATTTGCATTTATTGAAGTATATGGTATATTTTCTTGAAGAAGTTTCAAGAGCAACGGGACACTGGTTTTAACCTAAATTTCATAAAGAATTTACCTAACTAAATCGGTCTTAATGCATATTAAAATCTTTAATGTATAATTAAAAAGAATTTAAACGGATTGACAAGTGCTACTACCGTCAAATGCGGAACAAGATTCGCAAAGATCCTGCATGTCACGGTGACAAACCACCTCCAGCAAAGGCCAAGCCTGGTGCATTTGTCCCGCCGTTGGGATGACGAGCCGTACTGGAACCGCAGTCGTGACTTCAATTGAGAGGCGCGTCGGACGCAGTTTTTTACAGTACAGCATATGCGAAAAGAAATAATACATTGGGTCAAGCGCTGGTACACTAATGGAGCAGCAGCGGTAAGCAAGCTGAGTTAACTGTGTACGTTATTACCCGTCAATTCATTCTGTAGTAGGCTTATTTCGCCACTACCGCTTCCAGTATCTTCCTTCTAACCAGTTTGCTTCTCTTCGAATTTAACTTGCTAAACTGTTACCGGATGAGACAGTTCTTGAAGATGCTTTTTGCAGCCATCATGCCATAAACTTTCACCGTCTGCTCTGCAAATGCACACCATATGAATTCCTTGCATTTCGAGCGGCTAACCATCGAATCAGAAGACATTCATCTCAAACTGCTTCACCGTTAGAAATGTACCCTGTGAAATTCACTGATAGCAATATGCGAAGAAATTTGAAATTCGAATAAACCAAATAACCCCACTGCCATAACTTTGGGAAAAAATTAGTCTTTGCCACGGTTACGCAAGAAAATCAGTTTCAACTGCACTTCAACCTCAGCATTATCAGGAGTTAAAAAGACTTACGCAGCAGTTGCAAACCTTTTTACGTTTGAAATCTTGGACGAAGATCCTGCTCAACAGTTCTTGACAGATTTCGAAGTAACTTACTGCTCTTTAGAAGCATATCCCGATGCACGCTGAAGCAGCTGAAGCTTATGTTGGAAAGCTGACACCTGATGTGCAAGGTTTGAGAGAAGTTGAAAAATGATATGACGCATATCATGTCAAATCTGAGAGCCGCATGAGAAGTACTACACAGTGATTCAAACGCCATGAGCGAACAAATATACATAACTTCATCCGTCTAGTCGGTCTGCGTGGGATTAGTGTGCCGCTTCACCGCTGCTGGAAGATTAGGGATTAACGGATCCACGACTGACTATGCCGTTTATGCAGGCTATCGATTCTATGGCCCTTTGCATCAAGTACGCGTTTACGAACGAATTGCTCTTTTTATTAAGCAATAAATGAACGATCATGCTCCACGAACATAACCTCGCGAATACATTTCGATGCGCAGGCAATGGCTAAGTACGAAATTTCGGTAGCGACAGATTTCCGTAACTCTTAAAGCGGCAGTAGTCCCGAAGG